TATCTAATAAAAAGTCCCCGGCCAAGAGGTCACCTTAACACCGAAAAAAAAAAAAATCAAAGTATAATTAAAACAATGGTATGTTGCCCAAATACTGGAGATTATAAAGAAGCATCTCATCGAGAATGTAAACGAAAAAATAAGATAATAGGTATGAACAACCAAGCATAGCAGATAATAGAAAGTACAAAGAAACTTACAAATGCATGTATTATTACAGACAGATAATAAATGAAGATTCAATGAAAGTTGAGATTATTGCCATATTAGTGGTAAATATAGAGGGCCAGCTCACAATGAATGCAACAAAAAATTACAAATAGGGCAATTTAAAACCAAAATTCCACTTATTTGCCATAATTTTCAAGAATACGATTCATATTTACTCATAGAAGTTATTAACAGATTTATAGTGGATAAGTTAAAGTGTATTCCAGAAAATATAAAGCAATAGATGTTGGTCAGTTCTGGTTTCTAGATAGTTTTCAGCTTATGTCGATAGGTTTGGATAAACTTGTTGAAAGTTTAGGTAGAAAGCTTAAAAAATTCTCTTTAACTATTAGGTATTTTACCAAAAAAGGCTATCCATTCAACAGACAAGATTAAACTTCTTTTTCGAAAGGGTGTATTTCCATATAATTGAACAAATTCATGGGAAAAATTTGACAGAACAAGCCTCTCACCTAAAAAGAATTTTTATTTGATTTTTTGTCAACAAAATATTAGTAAAGAGGATTATGAATATGTACAAAAAATATAGCAAACATTTGAAATACAAACTTTTGGAGACTATCATGACCTTTATCTCAAAACTGATATACTTTTACTTGCAGATGTTTTCATAAACTACACAATTATATGCTTAAAAGATAATAGCTTAGATCCTTCGCATTACGTCTTAGCACTAGGAATGTTTAATAATTCCCTATACAAAAGTAGTAGAGCTGAACTAAAACTCATGACAAATATGAATGAGTATTTAATAGTAAAGGAAGGAATTTGTGGAGGTATAACAATGGCAAGCCATCAGTTTGCTAAAGCTAATAATCTTTAATGTTCAGATTACGATCCAAGCAAACCAATATCCTGAATCATGTATGAGGATATGAATACCTTATATTCCAGTGCGATAACCCAATACATGCCTACAGAAATATTAGGAAAAATAGATCTAGAAGAGATTCGAGATATATAAAGCATTATGTCTAATGCAGAAATAGGCTATATGCCTGAAGTAGACTTAGAAGTTCTAGCACACTTACATAATTTATTTGCAAATTACTCTCTAGTACCAGAAAAGCAAACAATATCTAAAAACTGGTAAAATCAGCAAATGAAATATTCGATTCTCTTTCGGAAAACATTCAGATCAATAATAATTTATTTGTAGGTAATCTTATGAGAAAAGAACTGTTGGCGGCAATATCTAGAAATCCTATTTTGAATAAATTAAATAATAATGATGAACTATTGCTTGCAATATATCTAATGATATTCTTCTAAATAAGAAACAATCCAAAGAAATTCGGGAGACATTCGCAGATTTACTCATCTGCTATCTTCTTATTAAATTAAGATTAAACAAATATCCATTTACATTGAAATTGCAATCAGACTTCAGTTTTAGTATATCTGACAAAAATGTATCTGCCAAGGTCGAATTTAGCATATTAAAGGAAAATGCGATAGTTTTTATAGATGAGGATAAACACATATGTAGTTTGAGACAAACAACAGAATATAGAAAATCACAGATATTTGCTGAAATTCTCGTATGTGCTTTTACCAATTTTGACAATGCTGACAGTCCCACAATAGGAGAAAGTCAAACGGTCTATACAATGAGAGTTATTGGAATAAGGTTTACATTTTACAAAGCATTTCTGAGTAGGGACTATTTAAGATCCCTATACAAGGGTTTTCTTCTACATAATTTATCTGTAATGATATTTCATTTTTTGCCAAATGATAGTTAGGAAACACTCTATGGTCATGACTATGCTGATAAGAATCAGAGATTTTTGATTGTTGATTTACTATATCATTTAAAAGAATGTTTGCTTAAAATGTAACCTGATTTAACATAATATAGTTGGCAATGTAATAATTATTTAGCAATAACAATGTAGTATTTAAAATATTATAGAAAATGCTTTTAAGCAAAGGGTGAGAAAGAGCCAAAAGATTTATTTTCTTTTTAGTCAAGAATATATCGGGGTTGATAAGATGGGGTGAATAATTCTTTTTAGTATATATGATATTAAATATATAATAAATAAAACCAAACCATAAAACATATAAATATATTACTATACTTTTGAGGTCTAACAGCTATTTTACCTTGTAATCATAAATTATTTCTGAATAAATAGTATTTATTCGTCGAATATTAGTCTGTTAGTGAATATTCGTTATTCTTTCTGTTAATATATATATTGTGATGGGTGCGGTGATCTAGTGAAGTGGTGGGGTTGCTGCACCCCCAAGCGGCAGGTCTAGAGTTCGAATCCCACAGACGACGATTTTGAAAA